GTTGTAAGCGTGTTGTTTTTATTGGACAATATCTTAGTCCTATGCGATATTACTATGTAAGGGGAATAGGATTGTAGAGGAGTCTTTCTTGGCATGGGTAGACAATTTAATGGGATTGATTGATATACGATTTACAGGATCTTCTGCGAGAAGGACGCTTTCGATGATAGTGAATCGTTTATATTTGTCGATAAATATTAGAAAACAGAACACTCTTTTTATTATCTTGTTAGAAACATTCTATAATATAGAAAATAATTCTACATAATATGCTTATCTTAAATCGTTAAAGCTAATAAAAACGTGGGGCTCCATATGGCGTTTTATACTTATTATTATTAATTTTACCAATTTAATTTGAATGATTAATATTTTAAACTACTTCAAAATACTGAAATGGAAAAAAAATTTACAAATAAGTGGAAGAAACCAACATTTCTTCCTTATTGTACAAAAATTTAATTTTTTTTATTTTTACGAAAAGATTGGAAAGTTCGTCGAACAAACAACTCTATACTGTATTGACTTTGTTATTATAAATATAAAATGAAGACATCCGTCTGTAGCTGAAACTAGCTTTAATTCGTGTTTTTCAAAACTGGACTTATTTAACTTAACTTACTTTTGTCAAAATTGGACTTATATCACTTTGAAAAAAAGATAGCTCATATGTTGCACACTCCTTAATTCATTGTTTTGCTTTTGAACTTTTGTAAATAAGTGTACATTGATCAATGAACATTTATTAATAATGACATACTGCAAGATTGATTTTAAGCAAATTGTATTATAAAACATACAACCTACTTGAAAATTTATCGCAGGTGCAAATATTGTGAATATATAAAGATTTTGATGATATATTTTTCACATTTTTTTCCTTTTTCTCTGAATATTTTCCTTTCTCCTAATGACAATAACAAAATTTTTATTCCCAATTACATTCACCTTAATTTAAATGAATGTTTTCAATCCCGTACATTATAGGCTTAGCAGACTTTTTCTGCTACAAAAATTCTTCGTTTAAATTGCCAGATTTTATTGGAAACAATAAAACGGCTTCAAATTACATTTATGAGTAGAAGAGAAATGGCAGATTAGAAATGCGATGAAAGTATTGTAGTTAAGCTTATCGGAATTTTTAATCGAGAGGCTTCCACCCTGTTCTTATCGCTGTAGTCTCGAGTGTAGAAGCTATCTATGTAGAATCTATTTATCGAGCATCAGTGGTTTATGCTGAGCGTTACAGTATCGAATAAATCGAAATCACTACCTGTAAAAGATTCAATTAAATTGTAGAACACTTTTAAATGTAATCGACATTGGTTTTCAAAATATTTTTACCCTCATATACATATAAGTTAGTCTAATTATTTGTCAATAGACTACATAAGTTGTGTCAATATTTCATTATAAAAATTTAGTATAAACTAATTGTAGATACCTATTTTCTTCAAATTTAAACAGTATCGAAGTTTGAACAGTCGAAACAAATTCGCGTAAAGAAATAGAATTTTGCAAATATTTACCATTATCAAAGCATAAAATCAAGAAATAACGTTAATTTCTAATTGTTTGATATTAGTTACACTACTTCATCCAACTATCGTGGAAATTAAGTATCGACAGACACAGTGAAAATCATTTTCAATCGAGCTGAAACGTTTGAGAGGACTTTGTTCTAGACAGAAAATCGATTTATTATTGACGCTCTATATAACAGAATTTTATTAGGTCAGTCAGTAACGATCAGGCAAGTGGTCAATTGGGGATGCAACTGCAAATCGTTGTCAGCGACCTTTGGCACTCTCTGCAACCTTAAATTTGTTCGAGATTCTTTGATAATAATCGTCATTTACAATTTCTGGATAGGACAAATGAATCGTAAAATAACGTTCTTGGCTAAAACAGCTTGTGTAGAAAATTTATTACATAATTATTTGTTCCAAAAAAATTACACACAACTTTCACTTAAGTATTATGTCGTTATATTATGAACTTTTTGCATTTATAGGGTGAATAGAGAAGTAAAATACAGGAATGAAAGAGTTTTAATAATCTCCAACGAAATTCGTGTTTCATTTTGAATATCATAAAATTCTTGAACTCTTGTTTACTTCTTTTCATCCATAGTTTGCGTAGTGAATTACTTAAAGCAACGTAACCGCGACATTTTACTTTATTAGAAGAGATTAAATCTCGATTTTACGGTCTTTCGCACGAAATGAGAGATTAACTAAAAAATTTACCATTCCAAGACAATTTTTTCGACAGAATGTTTTGCGACCCTCGTTTTTTCAATCTCATGCTGGGAAGTTATGATCTCTGTCATCTACATATTTAATGCGAATGTCAAGTAAACTGAAATTTCACCCTCGACGAGGGAATTTTCTTATTTCTTCTATAATTCCTGGCTGACTCGATAATAATAAATTTTACTTAACATAAATGGGGCTCCCAGGACTCTTGTTTCGATAAACAGACCATAATTACATACAGTTATGAAGAGTTTTATTTATTATATATTATAGATAATTGTATCCATAGTGATATAGTGTTATGTGGAGTTTATATCTAAGTCTAACTTAGAATTTTTAAGTATAAATACACAAACAAATTTTAGACAAATTTCCTCTTAAACCAACATCTGTCTTAATTCATTTCGAACACTTTCAAGTTTTATTTTATAATAATCAATAAAAGCGATATTTCACGTGGAACAACTTGATATCTATAAAATATTTACACTTATCATTTTACAAAAGCTATTTGTTACTGTAAATACTGGTGATGAAGTTAATGCAAAGGACACTATTTTGCTATACAATACGTACTTTGCAATTTTTTCAATTTTTGCAATTGTTTCGTCATTTTTTTACAAATTCTATTCTCGAGATATCAGATCATAGTTAGCATTACGCGAATCTTAATTAAAGGTACAACTAAGAAACGTTACCTGCCCGGTTAAACGCGTCTTCAGAATGCTTTGGGAATCGAGGTAAACGGATCAGAAAACAGAAGCCGTAGGAAATAAGTAGGCGTCGAATAACAGAAGTAAAGTACGGGGAACGCTGAAGCAGATATACAGAGGGTAATCCACTACTGGTTTCAATCTCGAGGGAGCAATCGGAAGAAACAACTTTGTGTTTTATGTAGTTTCACGACGGACTGCGCCCTATAAATTTTATAAAAGGCCCGGCGGAAATGGAATAAAGGAAACTAGCGAAAACAAACGCAACGAAAAGTGAAGTCGCTTGAAAGAAAACGTGTACACGGTGAACGGAAATTTTTTGAAATGTTTTCCGGTTTTCACCAGACAAAACTTCAAATAACAGAATTTGTAGGCATATATAAAAAAAAGGTAACATTTTAAATAACACTGGAGGGTAAAAAAATAGTAAACTGTAGTACACTGCACTAACTATTGATTACGTGATTAAAATAAAACACGAAGGAGGACAGGTAATCGAGATTAAGAATGAGAGGCGTGTATTGCTGAAAATAATTAGATCATCTACTGAACTAATTTTTGCCTATCAAAGTATATCAAAAGCTTTTGTATTGAAATATTTATGCGGATATGGAATATTATTGGGTATTTATTGAAATCGTGGAATATTTATTATGCGAAAACAACCAATTATCGTATTTAATTTATTTTACGTTTACTTTATCAAACCAATGTTTAATTAATCTCGTCAATTTATCCAGTTAAATGCGATGAATTTCTGACGTAATCACTAATTAATTTTAAATTATCAGCAACTTCCCTTCTCATTTAATTTTACCTCAAATTTAAAACTTTCATCTAGAAATAAATATTAAAGTTTTAAAAAAGTGCTACAATTTTTGCTTAATAAAATAAGAAACAAAGTAGGGTCATTGTACAAAAACCAGTTAAACATATCTTCCAATTGCTATTTAGTATAACAAAAAATTGTTCTGAGAAAGAATTACACAAGTATAACACTGCAGCATATATGTATATCCAGAAGACTCAAATTGAATGGCAATTGAAACAAAGATTATTTTACAGAATTTACAATACAGAGACGAAAATATTATATATCGTCCTTCAACAAAAACGCAAGGAAAGATAAAAGAAACTCGTGACGATCGATTAAACATTCACTTAAACTGCCATTGTGGAAACCCTCCCTTCTTGACGTAAAGAGTTCTTCACAAAATGCTGAAAGCATATTCATAATATTGAAACTGCTAGAAAAGAGGTAAAGTACAAGGGAACACAACAAACGAGAAGAACCCCAACATAAAATTGGAATTTTAAACACTATTATATTATTCACAAAAACCGTAAACATTTTAATTCTCTTTCTTCCTGACCTCAAAAAACAAACGACCAACAAGCCACAAAGAGGCAATATATCGTCCCAGCGTCAACAATATATCCATATTTCCCCAACCCAGGAGAAACCCCATAAAAATGAAAAAAAGTACCACGACGATCGATTCACCATTCCCAAATCGCCTCCTCCAACCTACCAACATTCCTAACCTCAAAACGGAAGCCACCAGTAAGTCACAAAAAAAAGAATAGATCATCCTAGCGCCAATAACATATCCACATCTCCCCAACCTGGCGGCAAAATCGGCCCGTAATGAAAAATTAAAGACGAAAAGACGAGGGTTGGCCATGGTGGGAGGGGGGATGGTAGATTGCGCGAGACGGTGGGGGAAAAGAGAGAGGGTGGATAGCGAGCAGGTATAAAGGGAGTAGGCGAAAGTCAGGGGAACAAGAGAGAGAGAACGGTAGGTGAGCCGAAAGGAGAGAGCGGGGACAGGAGAATGTTGGTTGCGAGTCGATAAACCACGGGGAAACGCGAGCACCCTTGCGCGCACGGCTTCAACATGGCGGTCGGTGAGTCCTATTCCCCTTTTTCCATCCACGTACGGAGATAGGGTAGAGGAGCTGGCCGGCCGCGCACGATTCCGTCGCGCTTCATTTTTCAATTTTTTGTTTTTACTGTACTCGGTGTACCGTCCAGCACCACGCGGAAAATGATCCCGCGGGATCATCGATGATCGTTGGATCATCAACCGCGGCGCGGATACGTGAACGCACCCCCCGAGTTACAAGACCGATTTACACGAGGAGTCACACAAGGAATATCTGTTCGGACTGTTTTCAGAGGAGGAGGAGGATTCGATATGCGGCTCAAGGAGGCTGTCGTCTCGGTACCGCTGCATCCTGGGGGACTGAACAACAAGTAAGTGCACATCTGAGACATTCCACTGCGACCCCATTCATCCCCAAGTCCCATGTATTTTCCTGTCCAAATCGATTCGCTTCGTCTCATTGCTTCCCATCATCCTTGAGCTTCTCTTTGATCTTTTAACGTCTTACCCGGTTAGATTCCCTAAGTGCGCGGCTCCACGAATCTCTTTCAGTTTCGTTAATGACGTGTCGGCTTCATTGATACCTTTCACGGTAGAATCGAAGGGTTGGCAATCGGTGACGTATTTCTAATATGGATCGCGTGTTTCGATTCGACACCGGGTGACGTGATTGGGAGGATTCGAGGGGTGTCACGGTGACTTTTGAGTCTGGTGTGTGGTGTTTAAATGGCGCTGCGCGGTTGGTTTTACGGGATAATTCGCGTGGTAACGAGTAGCGTCGCCGTTGGATGATTCCTGTTAATGGTGTGGAGTCTGTTTCTTTTAATTAACGGGAAGATTCCGCGAAAGGATTTTTTTAACGGAGCGACTTCGTTCATTTTCGTACGAATTTTTTTTCTCGCTTTTAATTATTTCGAAGACCTCGAGGGGTTATTCGTGGAAATAGATACGAAGTGTCCAATTAACGTGCACACGGTACTGCAGATTATACCTGTTGGAGTTCCGTATTTTTAACTTGAACTTTTGGTTAACTTGAACTGATTTTAATGACGTTTTTAATTAAGTGATGTTATAGTGTGACGAAATGTATCACCAGTTGCAATATATTCATTTTTTTGATTTTGATAATCGTTTATACAGGGTGGATTACGAAATGTGATCAGCTTAGATTATTCTACTGCTAGATATTTTGGCTAATATAACATGACTTAAACAGATTTTAAGATGATTGTACGAAATTTTTTATCAACCCTTTTTTACAGAGTTTTCAGGGAAATCTTCGATTTTTTTATAGATAAACGTATTATTTTTGTATGCTCACCTTTTAACGAATAGTGAGACGAATTCGACAAGCATCATAGCAAATACGTTTCTCTTTCTAAACCAAAGAAACATTAAGAAAATACAGTTTTCTTTAATTAAAACGATATTCAAAATGGTGTCCATCAGCTGCAATACACTCGCGTAAACGGTTAAGGAACTGCTTAGTTCTATTTATGACGTACAATAATCTTATAAATAGTTATCTTACAAAAACAGTTCTATTTATGACAGTAGACTAATCTAAGCAGATTAAGTTTCGCAGTCTATCCTGTATATGTATAGAATTCTGTGATCTTTGGGAACAGAAAAGTGTGAATTGTTTTGTATTATTATAAATTAAATAATTCGACGTTATGTTGGTATGGTTTTCTTAATAAAGTGCGTCAATTTGGTTACTTTGTGTCGATTTCTGAATTGCAACATGCTTAAATCTTTTTCATCAGATCATCCTTTTCCGACTATCAGAATATCATAAGCAATTTCTCCAGTTTCTGTATTTAATAACGTTCTTAGAGCAATCTTCTCTCCCGACATGATCAAAAGTACCGACACGGTAGCATTAGCAATTAGCTCACAATTTAAAACGCGTAGTTTCATTGAGATCTAGCGATCAGTTTGCTTTAGATGTCTACTTCATCTAGTATAAATTGTAGAATATTTATTCCAAACCTTATTATATTAGCAATGCCAAGGCATTTAACTGAGAAGGAAAACCAGAAGGTTAGTGTTGACTCTAAACGGTCCCCACTTTTTCATTAACAGTTTATCGTTCATTTCTTATCGTTCCTTACCCATGCATTTCTAAATAACATGCGTGCTTCTTATGATGTTGCCCAAACAAATCAATCCAAAAAGCCAGATTATACTCTATCAATGTCCACGAATTGTAAATACAACTTGTCCCCGTGTCGAACGCATCGAACAGACGGACACACGCGCGCACACACATCGCAACAAGTGACTGTCGCATGTACACCCTCACCTGCCGAAAGATACGAATTTATTGAACGAACAACATCATTGTTACAGATAGATATTGTCGTTAGAGACACTAAGATTTTATTTGTTCACTGGATATATATTATATTCGGTTTTTTGTGATTAAAAATGACTACGACCCCTCTTTAGAGTACGATATGTTGTGATGAATGTGGTGTTTACACTCATTAGATATGAATCGCTTCGTAATAGATTTACTTTCTTTTCGAGTCGTTTAACCGTCGAATGGCGGATCGTCTGACGGACGAAGCATGACAATTTATATGAATTTTATTTTCAAATTCAGTTTATTCAATTGAACTTTGCTTCTTAGCTAGATTGTTATCTTTGTTCGAATATGTATTCTTCCTTTCAGAAGTATTGCTGAAGAATTTTTTAAGTGAATTGAATGAAACGAAAATATAGTAATATAAAGTAAATGTATTAGAGTAACAGAGCGTAAGTGAATAACGTTCCTCTTTGTCATTGCAAATTTTGCAGAAATTGTTCGATTAAGTCATGGATAACTTCCGTCATGGGCACTTCAAAATTAAATGATAATTGAGTAAACTCTGAAAATTTATATAGATTTTTATGAAATAATTAATAAAATCTGAAACTAAACAGAATTAAATTTATCTTATGGAGAGATTCTACCAGTTTCTAAATAATATGGAAATTTCATAACAAATCGTAAAACTTTAATGCGTTGAGTTTTAAATAGTCGTATGAATATAATAAATGTATAAAATCCGCAATCCTATGTAGTAATGAAGATGATATAAATTAATATTAATTGTAAAAAGTCTTAGGCAGTCATAAATGTAAAAAACGGATAGGTAATGGAAATTATTTATGACTCAACCTAATTATAATATTTGTTTTACGTATAATCTGCAATTATTATAAATGTTTCACTTGCATACAGTTGTAGTTTACATATTATACTATTTTATATGATTAAGAGTATAAATGCATAGGTCAAAATGGACACTGTATTCGCCGAACGAAGGTTAAAAATGGTAATCAGTATGCACTACGGTAATGCGAATTTTGTTCGAGATCGAAACCCTCGATGCCTTGAAAACACGTTCGATCCACACACGTCATCGAAATCCCCGACAATCCCCATCGATGAAACTGCACACTCTTTTCACTATCAATTCTGGTGATCGAATTCGACTTACTCGCGAGCTTGGACATTTTTCATGCGTTGCTTAATGTTTCATTTTTTGACGATCGATATTTGAACGACGCCTGCTGTTTGATCTCGTAGAAACAGACTTCGTTCTTTGCACTGACACTGTACAGTTAGATATATATGTGTGTGTCTCTACGAAGACGAGCACAGATTGATATGCTGCGATTAAAGAGCTGCCAGATCGGTCTTTCTGCAATAGAACTTCGTGTGATCAATTAGAAATTGCTAGTATTTAACTTCAAACTATAGATTAATCTCATTTCCACTGTATAAGAATCTACAAAAATCAATAAAACGAAAACTGTAATATGATTTCATGTCTTTTGGACTGTATTGTTAATCAAACCAAATTCTTTATGGTGAAAGTGAGACTCTATTGCATCAGCATCTTTGTAGATTCGTGTGTAAATTTGCACAATCATTTACAATTCAGTTTTTTAAGTAAACCAATTCTACTAAGTATAAAATTAGTATAGTCTGTGCAAGATGATTTGTTTAATTGAAATGCACAGTGTGTAATGTCACTACCCCTTAACTCTCTGTCCCACAAACTATTGACAGTATGAAATTCATATTACAGTTTAAAAAAATTTTCTATTAAGAAATATGAGAAAAAGCTGCATTCTTAGGGTTCAATAATGCATCTTGTAATATTGACGTTTCAATATTCCTCTTTGTGAAGAGATTCAAAAGGAGTACTCGATGGGCTTCTGCCCTCAACTAAAACCGAAACATGAGAACTGCAGCGAAAGAGATCGATATTTCACGTTAATGTGACAGTAATGTAGATGTATTCCTTTATTAAAAATATCTGAAGAACTTTCGTAACGGGATATCTCGTACAATTGTAGACAATACTCGATCTTTTCACAAGGAACGGAAAGACTCGGACGTCGGTCATGAATATTTCATTATAATAATCAAACATTTCTCCAATATACTCTTCCTCATTAAGATGACGAGATTAAATATCACATGTATTATTCAGTTATAAAGAGAAAACGAAAAGTTACTGGGAAATCTTCTCGTATTTCAAATTAACTCAACCGCTCGTATTTCTGGTAAAAGTAGATTATTATTTACCTTAAAGTCATGAATATTAATTATTCATTATAATTATTTAATATAATTACTCATTACTTAAATTTGCTACAGGTTAATTTAATATTGCTGCCCAGACATTTATTTATAATGATAAACTGTATTACATATTGATATGATACAAAAACATCTATAAGGTTGTTTAACATTATAGTCACTGCATTCGTTAATCGAACTCATAGAAAGAAAATAATTAGTTCTACTAACCATAAATTCATAAATAAATCGTATGTATAAAACACTGCCCTTTTTGTAGATAAGAAACTAATAATTTTTCATATCTTTATCCTCAATTGTCAGGTGTCAACTGTTATCGTGCCATGTATTATACAATACTCCACACTGCCTCAAATTAATATTTTTAATCGCAGAATATCAATATCTTGGTACATCACATAAACAGTCCCCCGTCAAACGATCATCGCCTAGCGAGCCCAGAACTCGAGGAAGTACCCGCATAAATTCCTCTCGTGAAAGAAAAAAAAAATCCGAAAGATCAATGTTTCGCCCGGCTTGACCGAATTAGTTCCCTCGTGATCACAAATTTAAAACCGGCCGAAACTGAAAAGGGTTCCCCTCGCGAGGCGTCGCGGAGGGTCTTAAAACAGCTGCTCGACCACGAAAAATTATATTTCGTCTGAAAAGATCATTCAAAACCAGTGAGATCATTAAAGACATTTTTTAAATTATTTTCTTTATAAAATCGGAATATTTAAAACAAAAGCTGAATTATTTAAGTAAAAAAGAACAAAGATCCAGAAATTGTACTATACGTATTTTATCTATAACTGTCGTTTCAGTTTTACATTAAATTATGGTTTCAATATACATTCATTGCTATACGTAAGATTTTTAATTATTGTACTGGTGTAGTAAACTAATCAGATTTATCGGAAGAATTATCAGTATTGTTGTTAATTGAGGTAAAACAATTATTTTGTATATTTACATTCTTGAGCAAAGCTAACACTTCTAGAAATTGTCCTTTTCTTCATTTCTTAAGCAGATAACCTCCAATAACCAAGTATCAGGCGATATTAGTCTGCAGACTGCCCGCGAAATTTAAAATGCAATTATTATAAATTGTTGCAAAAAATGGCACACAATTTTCAAAAAAAAAAAAAAAAAAAACAAAGAACTGCATCCGAACTACAAAATAACGGTAAAGGTTCGGCCAATCCATACCAATTCATATTGTTTGACTCAAAACACAGAAACTCATGCAATCATGAATTTGCTATCTTCGAGTACGTCTACTCTGAAACGTCATGAAATTCTTTTAATCTGTCTATTGAAAAACTAAAGTATGCACCGTTCCAAAAATTATACGGTTTTTCGCGGTCAGACGGCTGTATTAAAACACTCTGTGCGTCGTTTTGTGTGGGTGAGGCCGAGGCGGCTCTCGTGGCCACCTCTCGCAGACGTGTCTTACGTAGGTGTGCTGCCTATATTTGCATCGTCATAGATCGTGTACGAGCCGCCGCGACTAACGGAACGTTGTATCGATCCGCACTTGGACTCATTTCTCTGTCTCGCTCGCAGTCAGCTACATAGGAGCGAGCCGAGCCAGCCGGGCACCGAGGAACTCGAGAATCGCAACGAAAACAACACCTCGACGACCACCGTCGTCGTCCCGGTGGCCAGAAGCCCGACGTCGTCCGATTTCAGCGGCGAGGACACCGAGGATTTCCGTGTCGCCGAGGACACGACCACGTGGTCTTCCCTTGCGATCACCCGGGACAACGCGCCGATCGATAGCACGAACAACGACGCCGGGAACTTGAACAACAACTTATCGGTGCCGAGGATCCGCAGAAACAGCTCGGTCGAGAGCTTGGCCGATTACGAAGGTAATGTCCAATTACAATTGGTTTCTTCTTCGAATGTTGGATGGAGGAATTGTAATCTAATAATCTGGCGGAAGACGGAGCTGGGTCGTGTCTGATCCATGGTTAGATGATGTACCTTGATTGTAAGGTATTATGGTACTATGGTGCTAAGGTACTAAAGTACTAGGGTACTGAGGCACTAAGATACTACGGTATTTAAGTGCTAAGGTACTATGGTACCAAAACACTAGGGTACTAAAGTACTAGGGTACTGACACACTAAGATACTACGGTATTTGGTACCGTGTGCTAAGGTACTATGGTACCAAAACACTAGGGTACTAAGGTACTAAGGTACTGAGGTGCTAAGATATTAAAGCACTAGGGTACTAAGGTGCTAAGGTACTGAGGTACTGAGGTGCTAAAGTACTGAGATGCTAAGATATTAAAGCACTAGGGTACTAAGGTGCTAAGGTACTGAGGTACTGAGGTGCTAAAGTACTGACGTGCTGAGATACTAAGGCACTAGGTGCTAAGGAACTGATTTAAAATGCTAAGGTTTAAGATCAAATGACAAACGTCTGCAATTGGTAATTTGGTATACGAAGTGTGACAATAAAGTTTCTGGAATAATTCACTTAAAATTTTATTTGGAAACTAAATAAATGAGGTTCCCGCCTTGAAAGTAGTCCCCTTGAGACCGTACACGCGCATTCCATCGTCGGATCCATTGATCGTAACAATTCTGGTATACACTCACTTTCCGGTATCTATTTTAATACCGGCGTTACATTGTTTGGAATTTCGGAAACTTCTTGAAAATGTGTTCCTTTTATAACTTCTTTTACTCGAGGAGATAACTCAAGCGAATACGAAGGATGTTCCAACATTACGATCGATTTTGAATTTACAAACTCCTTCACTGGAATGGCTGAATGTGCGGAAGCATTGTCAGCGTTCCATTTTTCACGTAACACGGACACTCGAACGTGTCTTCGCGCGAACCGAATTGCACGCTGACTAAAGCGATTGACACTGTTTCCCTTTCGCATGAAATTAGAGAGGGGATCAGGCTTCATAGAGGGGGGACGTAACTGTTCACATTGTTGTCACTTTGATGGAAGCAAAGTTATTTTCAAAAGTTTATTGTCACAATGGCGTGTCAACACGTTAGATCATCCCACAAGTTATGCAGTTTTTCTAAAAGTTGAATCTAAAACCGTATAATCTATTGGGTTGAACGGATAGTTTTTTCGTTTGTTTGTTGTCAAATACGATGGAGTATTTCAGCAGTGTATATTCAATAATATCCGATAACTTACAGCAATTGTCATTTTAATCTTTTCTGTCAATTGCCTTTTGCTGTCCAAAATGTAATGCATTATGTATACTGAAATCACCAGTCAAAAATCTCTGAAATCACATTAAAAATGTTCACCTTCTTAATATATATATGTATCATAAATGTTCTTTATTGTTAAAATGCAAAAGCTTTCCATTCAATCAAAGTGATCACTACTTATCTGCTTGGTGTACATAATGTCTTATTGTTAGACAGATACATTTAGACAATATTGCGCTAAAATTCACAAGTGCAGATCAAATAGTTCAATTATTAAAAATATTAAAATAAAAGTGACGAATATGTGTTCATCAAAGAGATTGGCACAATTACATCAGCGAGAAATATATATTCCAAATGTATGGATTATTAGAGTGAATCAGTGTTCAAGAAGGTTCACAAAATTTCTGGCAAGCCTTAAAGATGTAATTCGTATCGGAGGACCTTTGGAACTACATAAAGATACTCTACGGGTTATTTTTTATGGATTATGACGAAGTTGTTTATTCTCAGTAACATACGTATCAGAAAAACCGCATTACTCATTGGATGACCAATAATATAAACCAATATTGACACAGCTCCGCCATCAGACAGTTAAATATACACGATAATCGAAACATTCCCTGTAGAAAAAACAATCCTTTCTTGATATCAAAAGACACTTTAATGTGGTCAATATATTAAATTCTTTGTTGAATTTTCCAATACACTTTCTCCGAGCATGTAATATTATTGCATGTTTCCTTATAAATATATAGATTATTTCGACGATTAGAGTACACGTTTTTGTTTATATATTGTTAGTAACAATGCGAGGTAGAATTCGTCCTCGGACCTTGAGGATCAATCAGGACGGAATGTTTAAATACAAGGAAAACTGATGTTACGTTTATACAAAAAGGTTTAATAATTTGGGACACATTATCTGATAAAGTAAGGGAAAAATAATAATTTAGAACACTCAGCTGACATCAGCCATTCCTCGATCCATCATCATAATTGATTCATTACACTAGTGTCTTCTCTTCATGACTGTAAAAAATACTCACAAAAAACTATGACAATTGTAATAATAAGACATTCAGATTATAGAAGTACCGGAAATAATGAGTTACGGAATATCTCTGAAATTAATTCAATTTGAGTTTGGATGTTGTGATTGCAAACAAAATGAAAATTTAAATCAATTCAATTTAACGAAATATCTACTAATGAAGGGCAATTTTATGCAGTATCGATGAAGCAAACAATCGTATTAAATTCTCGGAACAATTAGCTATAGTATGATTCTACACTGTTTAATTTATTCTAAATTTGATTAAAAATGCAACTGTATGCGCCCAACACTATCCACACGGTCTGGGTTAGGTCAATCATTGCAACGAAACGATGAGTAACAAGAGGTTCTGGATGGAGGCGCGTTAGATAGGCTACGAGGAAATCCGACCACGTATTTTAATCAAACGATTTCAATCATCAAATCCCATCACGAGCATGAGTTGTCTGAAGCAGCTGGTGATGAGTCAGTCGGCCGCGTGGTCACGATGCCCGATTATTCAGTATTCCGGCAATGTGCAACCAGCATGAAATTCCGCAGGGCGTAACTCCTCTCACGAAGACTCGTCCCACGAGTTGACACCGTCCGAGTGGTCCGACTGGTCCGAGGAGGGAAATCTGCCCGCAGGTTGTCGCGGTATCGTCAACCCTAACTATCCAGGCTTTCAACACCTGGCGCCTTCTCTTCTGTCGGACACAGATCTGACGGAGGACGAGCACGAGAGCTGCCCGGATTACACGAGATTCAACGAGATCGACGCCAGGCCGGTCGAGAACGACAACGAGTACAACAATAACATCGAGGACAGTATCAATCATCTCTGCGGGCAGAAGAACCAGAGAAAGATCTTCTACGAGAAGCCTAAATTCAACATACAGGTAAACGTCAGATTTGTTCTTTCAGATTTTTTCTTTGGAAAGCGTTCCAGTGCCATTTTGTCATTCGCTGTCATTTGGCACTATTTTTAATTTCTCTCAGAGTTATGTATACTATCTGACATTGTGAAGTCATTATAAGAAATTAGGGGTGGGTTAGAACCTAATTTTTAAATTTAAAAATTTAAGATTTAAAATTAAAAATTAAAGATGTCAAAACTGTCGAAACTTTCGAAATTGGAAATGTTGATATTTTGTAAGGGGAATTTTTTGTTTTAAGAACTGAAGTCCTATCAAAATTGTTTGCATGAATCTTTACTGACCATAGTTAAACAAAATACAAAGAAAAACATAAAAATATGTTCACTTATCTTTTTTTAGCCATAACACTCAATAGTTTAGCAGTTCCTACGTTTTACGACCACTACATAGTTTCCTAATTTTATATTTACATATAGCCATATGGCAACAGTGAGAATAAAAGGGTTAATAATATCGGAATATAAAATGAAAGTTTAGAATTCAGAGACAATATTTTATATACTGTTAGTACATACTTTGTTACTAACATAAATATATTATGCATCATTCAAGTGGAGCTATCTTACAAAAAGCTGAAACACAATGATTATACCTAACATACAACTCGAAATTCCGAAGGAGATTGCCAACTAATAATCGTAGAGCGATTAGACGTACTTTGAATTTAACTTCAGCCGTGCCTTTGTCTCGGATGAGTCAAAGTAGACTTCCCAAAATACTTCCCACTAAAAGAATACTTAATCGCGTCCTAATTCCTGCCGTTCTCGATTAAATCCCCATGTTCACTACCTATGATTCGAATTTTTTAAAATAAATATTTCTTATTAGTACAAGTCCCGCTCAAGCTTTCCCTCGAACTTCAAGATCCAATCTACTAAAAACAACGTTCCGTGTGCACCAATAGACGCCATCATCAGTTCAATCGATCCTAAATACAAAGAAACGAACGATGATGGTATCGAACTAACAGTCGACTGTAGACGGAAAGGTTTTAATTAATAGCATCGTCTTTGTAATAGAAGCTTCGTTTCAAAAGGGCAACAAGGGCAATAATTAATCGAAACAGAGGCTTTGCTTTTACAACGTTTCAATTAACCAGCCGCAAAGGCCGCCACCGGAAGCTATGTAATCATCAGTCTTTCTTTCTGAGAACGGAGGAGAAGATTCTCTCGCCGGAATCGGAGATCGTGAACGGCGTCGTCGAGGCGGAGACGCATCTGACGGTCCTGGAACCGGAAGAGGGGCTTGCCGACACCGTGGTAGCCGCTAGTACGCCGGAACTCACGGAGGCGGTGCTCGAGGTGAAACAGGAACGAGAGATACCGGTCGAGGTCGAGATCGTCGAGCTGACGACCAGCGTGAAGGAGACTCCACAGTTTCCGGAAATCGAGGAGATACCGGACTCTGGGAAGACCAGCGAGGTCGGTGAGGTGGGTCTTGAAATTCTTTACATAAAAAATATTCTATAAATTCTACTCTGCCCTCATTAGTTAAAATGTGCTGTCTAACGAATTATCGTATTTTAAGATTTTTCGAAATATTTGGGGCCTCATATACTTCTCACTTTTTAGTTAACGCTAGAATGACCTGTGTGCTCTTTAGGACTCCAGACACAAACTAATTTATTTATCCTAACTGATTTTCAAATGATTTTACTAGTTTATATTGTTCTATGTAACATCTACTATCTTAGATAGTACTATTGTAAGTTATGACTTATGTTTATACCTCAATTATTTATGGTCTAGATACGTTTAAAAAGTGAGAGACATATGATTCGAACCGTTTTCTATATTAAACTTTTCTATGATGAAAAAGAAAAACGACATGAAGTAAATTATAAAGCGTCACTTTTCTCAGATGTCTGAATATGTCGGTTGAGACAATTGAGCTATGGAGGGCAGTATTGTACGAAAGGTGTTTCTAAAGTTCTAGGAGTTGTGTTATAAATTGTTTATTTTATTAATTTTCGCCCATGTTAGATTGTAATTTTTCAATGTAATTTCCGTTTAACTATATGCACTTGTCCCAGTGCGAAACTAGTCTTCCTTTCATGAATTTGAACTGCATTAATGCAAAAAATAGAATATTTCAATGATGCATTTGGGTTATGGTATTCTTAGTAAAGTATTTCAAATTTTGTAAATAATTTAATTTACACGTATTCGTTCCACGTATGTTTTCTTACGCAATTGAGAACATATATGTAAATGGAGTCTGCCCGTATAACAAACCATAAGAAACAGATACGTAAAACAAGGAAACGTATATGTTGTAAAAATAATTATTTCACGTTAATTACGTCAGTAATGATTAATGTAGTAAACACGATCAAATAAGAAGTTTTGACTCACTGATGTAAAATAATTTCAAAAAATACAATGGAAAATATGTTCTCTCACCGCGTAAAACGTAGACAGCTTGAAATAGGATTAAACTAACGTAACAGTTGTTCTAGAAAATGGCGACATCAGTAAGTTGTTGCATTTTTATTGGGTTGAATCAATAACTTTACTAACAGTGTGAAATTACGACTAAAAAACAAAAGAAGTTTTTTTTGAAGTCTTACATCTTAAAAATCTCCAACAGATTTGGCAATAAATCCTAAAGTAAAAGTGCTACCCCATATTTAGACCACGTCCTCTTTTAATTTCAGAAACGGCAATGGAAGTTATTTCATGACTCAACCCAATATACAAGCAATTGATGATGGATTTAACAAGAAACGATAAATACATTGTAAAGCCTATTTTAATCTGGTGCACGTATTATCTAGTGAATTCAATTACATTGCGTGCCACGGAAACATCCTCCGGATCTCATAATACAAGGAATTTTAAGTGTTTAATTACCGGTATTTTTCACGTCGATTTAAAGAAAACGTTCGCGATGTAAATGGCCTTTTGTTGCGGCCAACGAGAACGAGTAATCAAGATTAACGACCGTATTCACTTGATATCGCCCCGTGCCACAGTTTCGAGCTGTACGCGAAACTATTTAACAACTCCACACGCTGGACACACACACACACGCGGTACCGGACCCACATTAATGTATTCAGCAGCGTTCACGCTACCGTTTCACCGTTTTAAAAACAGCGTTAACACTCGGCTGTTTCACGTCGCGCGGTTATACAGCACCGCTAATCAGAAATTTCCTGAACTTTTAAGCATGGTCTTACTTCCACTTAGTAATTGAATGCCAGATGGTAGTACACTACGACCTCCGCTGTATGAATAATGTCGACGTTCCAAGTACACCAATATGGCGACAGTATGAATGGTGAGCTGTTCTCTAACGAAATATCTAGTAAGAAGAAATTCAAGAATAATACGATTTATTGTAGATACAGACATCGATAGCACGTTGATCAATTTTAATAGTAGGTACGTTTTTTAAATTTAAAGTGATATTTATTTTTTGGTAATAGTTATTGCGATGTTGAAGTCCATATCTGTGATGGTTTCTAAGTGGAATTAAGATGCTTCATGAACACTTATAAAATGCTTACTGTACGATTATAGTATCTATGTTCATTTTATGCTTAAAGAAATTAATTACTAGACAGTGTACATTGTATACGTGTAGATATGTACTAAAGAGTAATTAATTATTTTGATTACTATTAGAAAGATAAAATTTATATAGAAAGAGGAAATTATGATTTTAGAATAGCAGCTTCTCAAAAAGCTTGCTTCACTTTAATTACGATTTAATTACTTACTATAAAAATTGTTTATAATTTTATGTATAAAATAGATTTTGATATACACTACTGGAAATACTAATTGCATCACTCGAATATTAAACACGTTATCACTTGTAGCTTTTTTATTATTAGTAGATACTAGGAAAATTAATTGGAACAGAAATTTATTGCAAACATGTGTAAATCACTATCTTGTCCAAAATAAGTTGAATCATTTTATTAATCCCATTGCTATGAAAATTGGTTTTATCTTCATTATTTTTTAACATCGACTTAAATCTTTAATATCTGTTTAATATACATACATTCTGGTAGAAAATTAAAAGCTGTATAAAACCCAGTATATTAAGATTTAATCTGATGTCAAGAAATACTACAAATTTTCACAAATCAACGAAGTGGTAACATTTATGTTCCACTACTGTATGCATCAACACAACGAACAATGAACCACAATTGTAACACGTGTTCGACAAAATGAAATCACTGAATCTATCTTAAGATTATCCTCCTTTATCCTCACAGCTTTTCTGAGCACGTATATATGTACGTACATATGTACCAAGTTTCATTAACAACTGTACACATTGTTTAAAATTTCTGGAGCCCAGCCAGACCAACTATAACATTACCGACAAAAATTCGTCTTGGGTGTCTTAGTGTTAGTGTTCGTCAAGCAAAAAGTACTCAAAGAACTGACGGCGATTGTTCTTATTTTTTTTCATTCCAGACGGACGATATCGTGGTGGAGCACATCGACCTAATACGCGAGGCAAAGGAGTTGCCTCACCAGGCCCGATCCAAAATAGGCAACCGTCAGACCGTCACGTCTACCGGCTCGGCCGACGACGACTCGGAAAGCAACACCGACACCGACAGTTACCCGGAGGAACAGCCGACCTACACGAAGCTCGAGGAGATCGATCTTTTATCGAGCATCGGTCGTGACATCGGGGTAGATCTCGAGAAGTACGTGCAACCGGTGCCGGACGTAGTCGCGATGGAGGCCCTAGATCCGATCCACATGGCCGCCCGAGCCTCTTCCGCCATGAACATGATGAAAGACGGGATCGAGGACACCAACAAGCTGCTCGATCGTGATCTACCAGAAGCGTCGAGCGCAGACACCAGAAAGAAAGAGAAGATGGCTAGGAATCAGGCGAAGAGAAGGCAACAACAACAGCAGCAACAGCAGCAATTGAGAGCGTCGAACGCGCAGAGGCGGCCTGATAAGAGGAGGGCCGATGTGGATATTGGACCAGGTACGATTTTTAGAGGTGTGTTATTGTGGAACCTTGATTATATGAGACGTTGAAAGTATTAATGGGGTAAATAAATTGTTTTTTATGCATTTTAGTTAACGTCGTAGGATCCCTAACTTCATTCTATCTTCTGCATAAATGATGAAGGCCTAGTTTCATTAATAACTTAAAATGAGGTTTGAAATATATGCACTGCGTGACATAATTTTAAAACCACCCTGAAATTTCAATCCTTATGTATTGTGGTTGATATATGTAGAAACGAACCACTTTTTTTCTAGGGAATATAATCTATCCTTTTTTGAAGAAACATTATTTCTCAACACGATTTCAGAAATGGTATACTTGACTCGTTTTTATTTTAGCCAGAATAAATAAGCATTGAACATTTTAGGGTGGTTCTACAGTTGTGCCATGCAGTGTATGTATTCATAGTGAGAATCAGTAGAAACTGAATGGAATGACCAGACACGTTAGCCAAGTTCTATTTAATTGCACACGTATCCAGCAGATTTTCAAATTCGATTTTCTTCCGTAAATTCCACGTATCAAATACATTCCGTTTAATTGCATTTAAAACCCTTCGGTCGAATAGTAGAGATTTCACCGACCCAATTACGCTCGTAACGTCTTCCTTTCCTAGAAGCGGAAGTTTCTCTTCTCGGTGCGTTTCCCGCTACGGAAACGTGATTGCGTCTACTTCGTCGTTGCTTAACAGAAGGTGAAATTTCACGGTGCAGAAGTACAGCGCATAAGACAATAAAGTGCATGCGACTGCGAGCATACATACGCATCCCAGGTCCCATCGTCGTTTCGGTCGGGAAAACGCATATAAATCTTGGTCAAACTTAGCCTCAATTTTTCCACATGTATCGCGCAGGAAGCCCACGCGATTAGCGTAATCTCCAGGGACAATAAAAGTACCTCGGCGCGTATCTATTATACGTGACACGTTTCTTTCGCCCGTCGCCGCTCGTTTACGCATTCCCTTCCAGACACTTCTCCCGTACTCGACCGTAGCTCCTCGGATTTTACGGTACGTGCGCCTACTCAACGCGTGACATTTTCCTTTCATAATTCATAGCGACTGCCATTTGAAATGTTGCAAAAATACCACAAGTTAATATCGATGCACACTGATGGTCGAAAGCACGACAGCTGACCATTCGGAATGATTTTTATTTTATTTAAAATGATAGTGCTGGAATTCGGAAAATGTTGTCTAATATTACCATTTTAATTTTAAATAAAATTCTGAAAATGTTTTCAAAGATTTCCATTGTATTTGTACATGAAATTCTGAAGTTCTAAAAATTTCTTCACAGATTTCTGTTTTAGTTTTAAACGAAATTCCGAAATTCTGAAGATGTTTTCAAAGATTTCCGTTTTACGTTTAAATGAAATTCTGAAATTTTGAAAAAATTCTGAAACAGAGTTAGATTATTCACAATCTCTGTATTTCTTTAAGAATTCAAACCTAAAGAAATTGTGTAATGATTGTAGAAAATATGTTATTTATTCATTCAGAAACGTCAAAATCTTCTTAAAAATCCTAATCAAACAAATTAAAATATGGTGGAAAAATGATATTGTCTATGATTGAATGTTTCGACAGGTTATGATTATCCCAAAATCCATAGTTAAATTAAGAAACAAAAGTTTGAAACGCAAAGTACTTTATTACTTTCGCACAAACCACACAAATTATTATTAATTTATTGTTATGTTTTTGTTAAAGGTGTCTTTGACGTGTACAACATCGAGACAGCGATGCCAAAGATCGATTTGGACGCGATCGAATCTCACCTGAGAGCGGCACGCGAGGAGGAACGACGGGTAAGTGAAGATCGTTTATATGTGTAATTCCCTGTTATCGTGTATTGAAACATTTTTCTCGCGAATTTCATCGGAGAAACTCGCGAACAAATTTCTTTCACAAGAACGAAAGAAAATAATCATCGAAAGTATTGCTGGTAACTTTCCTGTAGAAATTCGTTTCTTCGTTCGCTTGGCAGAAACGTGGCTCGACCTTTCACTTTGACACACGTATGTTAATCGCATCTGTTTATTTACATAAAAGTGTGCAATATTCGCATGGTAATGCAGATATTTAAGGACGCTCGTGGTAGGCGCGTCTCATGCAAATGAGGAAATGATATTCATCGCGGACGGAATTAGTACTGATGCAACGCTGAGATTAATTTTAACTGTCGCGTTACTTTTCGAGAAGATTTATTATTGTTCGCAAAAGTTTCAAGACTGAAAACTCCAGTAGTACTACTGCATCTTAATGTACTACTATAAAACTGGACTCCAGATACTGAATGAATAGATAAACTTCGTTGAAATTAATTAAAAGCAGAAACACATATACAATTCATGTAAAAATAAAACAGGAATACAAAGAATATTACAAAATGTAAACCAAGCTTAAAAATTAGTTAGTGAATAAATTCCATTAAACTGCTGTAATTGGCCAGTTACTTAGTGGAATATCTGCATTGTATGAACACATAAATTACTAAATTACCCAAAATAATAGTCACAATGCTTTTTATTTATTATATCATAACGTTTCACTAACGTGCACTCACTGTCGACAGTTCCCTTAAAAGAAACACTACCATTTAAGTGAGAAACAATTTATTATTTTTTTATGTGGCCGTAAATTTTCACTTAAATATCTTTCTAACCCCTGCACTCAAGTGGAGTAACGAATACCTACAGAAAATTGTTCCCCGTGAGTGATAAACGTTATCATGGCGCAAACGACTGTCTCCTATTTTAAGAACAAACACGCAAAAGCATAATACGATAAACAGAATATTTAAATGGAAAAAGAATTATAATTGGAGGATCTTCACGAAGGAAGGAGAAGGTGTAATTTTCTGGCCCACCTGGCCGACGTTCACACGGATAAAATACTACGATAAGACTGAATGAATATATACCCACGCGACTGGATTGAGTCGCTTTCGTCGAAAGTCGAGATATACGCGCAGACCCCGTAATCATGAATGTTCCATACCTGATAAACTCTGACTCGATCGGTCTAAATAAAGCATGAAAGGATGCAGTGGGCGTGCTCAAAGATAAGAAAAGACGACATCGATCTGTGGCGAGAAGCCAGGTTCATCGGTAACTGAATTTGTTATTATATTTGTAAATAAAAACAAGTATTACAAAATTCTTTCAAAAAACGTCTGCTGCACATAATAAATTGTTAAGTCTAAAAAAGAATTAACGATACAGGGTGTTTTGAAGCTAATATCATGAATGTTTAATGTTTTCTATAGATGGAATATTACGAGGAGTTCAAATAGAAAATGTTCAATATGACGTCCGTTAGGAAACATATAGGTACATATTTTTGTATATTTGGAAGAATAATGATTTTGACTCGAATGAGTACTAGAAATTAAAAGTAAATTCTGCATAATAACATTTCAAAAGGAAATATATGTTTTATAGAAAAAATATATCAACTTGTGGATCAACGGGAAGGAAGTTAATCTTTCTACTCTAAGTTATTATAACTATTTAAGAGAAGACAGAAGTTCATTCTAAATGACTTTGGGAACAATTGGCCAAAATAAACAGAGAAAAGGCATCGAACTTCAAAAAGCTTTTGTGATCTAACAATAAGCTAATATTTTTCAAAGTTAGTGTTACTGCAAACCTTTTCAATAATGAAATATTGTTTACAGAAATTGACTTTTTGACCCTATTTCTGACTATTTTCCATAAACGAACTAGACAGTCTGTAACTATAAATTACTGGATTAACTGATAAATAATTTTCCTTTTCTCCCTTCCTCCCTCAATCAACTTAAACTGTGTCATTATTTCTATTCTTTGATTATTCACCGAATTTCTCCCATTCACGTAGAAAAATATTTCCGACTAAAGCCAATAATTCCATAAATTACTTCGCGTCCTAATATTCAGTCTTAATCGGTTCATGAGAACCGTCATATCCCAGCCATCTCGCCGCGGGAACTTTTCCCAAAAATGTGATTGACCTAATTATCTCCGAGAAGTGGTAGTCAAATTCGAGGTTTCGAGTCGATCGCAATTAACGTCGAGTTCGAATAACAAATCTCTCCACCGCAACGCTCGTTTTAATGGAGCTTACTGGATGAAGTAGAAAAAAAAAAGAGTCGTCTCACAGCCCGCGAACGGGAGATTTTCAATTTCAGTAGAAAAATGGAAGGGCGAGGTACTTCGAGCAATTCCCAACGAGATGTTTCGCGCGCGAGTATTTTCTGGATTATTGACGCGGAAAATAAGGTCGACAAGGTTTACGACCCCGTTTCGGGATCCCGATAGCGAGAGTCTCATTAAATTGCACAGACGATCTATATTCGACGGTGTGCAGTGTCCATTGTATGGAAATAGGGGAACAGGAAACGGATGTCGGCGGCACGGAGACGATCAATGCACACCCGTCAGTATATACAGTGCGACATAATTTCGGCGCGAAAGATTCGAAACGGCTCGCTATGTCGAACAATAACAAAAGAGAATCCATAAGGAGTGTGCTCAATCCGTGGATCGATATGTTTGTTTTTTAGGTTTGATTAGTACCTGGGTCGGTGAAACGAGACGAACGGACGATCAGAATCCTTTGAAATTCTAGAAATAAATAGGGGAGACCGGGGTAGAAAGTAACAGTTTTTGGTTTTCAATGGAGAGTCAAGATAAGTTCTATAGCGATATAATGTTTTTGGATTGGAAAAATTGAGTTTTTGCAGTTTCACAACTTTATGATTGGAACGACGATATTTCACAGAATTTTTGCAAGCATGTAACTGTCCGAATACGTATAGACAGTAATGTACAAATTGAAGATTTCCATGTAGTTTCCATTAAACTATTTATTGTTACCATGGTGAGAGAGCAGAAAAAGATTTACCGAGCAGCAGAAAATGCTTGATATACATTTTAGTAATATTAATTTTCATGTAGATCAAAGTGCGTCGAATTAAATGTTACGGTGATATTTCACTCGTTTACGGTCCAGTTTGGACAGATGTCTAGCAGTGTAACATCTCGAGATAACGTATCACTGCACCTTAAAAACCGAGGCAGCCGTAGGTCAAAAGATTTGCATGAGCGGCCAAGTGAAACGGTCTGCGTACTACTCGCGAGAAATATACATACCGTCCTCGGATACGTTGCTTCGAAGACGCGAATGTGATTTGCAAAGGATTCCAAACGGAAGATATTTGACGCGATCGGAAACTAAAAAAAAATTGAAGAATTCCGGCCCCACTTCAAAAACAATTAAAAGTAAGAATAAAATATCATAATTCTACTATAAACTTCGAATTTCCTAGTTATAAACTTGTCAATTTGAAGAACAGTGCTTAGTATATTTCAAAATTAATATTTATTAACATATTTTAGTTTAGTAGAAAGTGAAATGAGAGACTTTTCAATATTCAACGCTTCAAATAATCATGGTAGTCTTTTATAATTATGGGAATTCATTTATTTCATGTTCAGAAATTTATTTACTTAAAAATTAAATCACCCGAATATAAAGAACTTTTTTTAGTACAGAGACTCATACAGACTCTAATTTTGTTATCGAACGTTACCTGAAAAGTTTATTCTCAAAAGTAAATTTTGACGCATCACGATATTCTACTAAACGTACGTGTAATACAGTTTAGTTATAACATAGGTCCCTCATGCACTGAACCCCACAATTTCTTCTTCAATTCTTTCTTAACCTTGTATGCCCTGAAGATACTTTACAGTACCACTTAAACATACATTAAAATTCTTCCATAAACCAAACATGTTTCTTTTGCGACGTAGGGTCCTAACAGTACCTACTTCTAAACACCACTATATGCATTTATGCCCAAATGAATGTAAAAAATATTTATACTTAACATGTATATAATTTGAATAATCTTTAAATATCCAGAATATGTCGAGGAAAAAAATAAGAATGGTATACATAATTCAGAACAGAAAGGATTAAAGGCAAATTAACGAGCTTCTCATTGACAAGTGCTGCAATCGAAAACCCTGTCAACAAGTGAACAGTTAAAAATGTGTTACAACCAGCACCGTAAATGAACCTCTCTGTGTAACAATCAATCCCCCAAAACGGGGTTACCCTATTCTCCTGGTAAGATCCGAATCTGATTCCGGTATAACGACCGTCGTCGATCAGCTTGGGAAAGAGAGAGAGAAAAAAAGAAATGTTCCCGTTTCCGAGACCGATAAACGCAGGCGTTCTCGCATCAAAACGAGCACCGACCACTTTCACCGAGGACTGCGAAAAGCTGGGGCTAACGCGCTGAGTCCAGCCTCCGTAGACGGTTTAATAGCACCAGCTCCACCACCTTCGTCGAGCAAACCTTACTGGACGATCGGTCCGCCGCTCACTTGACTCGCTTTTACGCCAGTCTCGCGTTGGTCCCGTCTCGCGGCGAGTCTTGGGCAACGAAAAACGCAAGTCAGAACCGCGGTTGCTTTCGGACGTAGCTGGCCGTGAACAGGAAGTGAAACACAGTGAATCGCGGGTAAAAGTGAACAGCATAATTCCAATTGCTCGTGTCGTCGATCGATCGTGGACCACTCGTGTCGCCTGATCGATCGTGAACAACTGGAATCGTGAGCCACTCGAATCGTGAATCGATCGTGAACCATTGGAATTGTGAATCTAATTGTGAAGCACTGGAATTCTCAATCGATCGTAGATCACTGGAATCCTCAGTCGATCGTAAACCACTGGAATCTTCAGTCGATCGTAAACCACTGGAATCCTCAGTCGATCGTAGATCACTGGAATTCTCAGTCGATCGTAAACCACTGGAATCCTCAGTAGATCGTAAACCACTGGAATCCTCGATCGATCGTGAACCATTGGAATCCTCAACCACTCGTGAATCACTGGAATCGTTAACTACCCGAATCGTCAATCGATCATGAACCACAGGAATCGTGACTGAACGATCGAAAGACCAAGTTCCAATTCGCAAGATAACAAACGCTCGTTCCTCCGACAGTGATCGATACACTTGAGTTTCACGTGGATCGTCGGAGGAATTCGATCCCCTGCGGCTTCCGACTGCAAACCGCGTCCATTATTGGTGAACCGATGTATCGTCACCGTTGCGGTCAATTTTGTCCAGGGTCAACGGAGACATTGATATTCATCGCGTGACTGAACGAAGCTCGAGCGCGACGCCTGTCGCGAAGAAGATCGGATTATTGGGGAATTTCTGTACGCCGTTTGAAATACATGTGAATATATACATAATTTCTGAGTTGTTGCATAGAGAGAAGTTAACGGTCGGAGAACATTTAATGGATTACGTCGAAGCTCGAGGACGGTTGGACAGTAATTCGAGATGATTGAAGGTTTCAGAGATGCTCGTAATTAAATTGTACTTCCGGCTCGTCGTCTGCGACGCTGACGGGAGATATCGAAGCGTGTTCCGTGCGTGTCTCTTCTGTCAGAGAAGAAATAAATAAATGAATTAGAACGGAGGATCGTAAGAAGGTGACTAAACAAAGTGGAACACAGGGTATGATCGTGATGAATAAGTGGAGTGGATACTAAGGCGAAAGTGAAGAAACGTGGTGAAATGATGATGATGATTAGAAGACATGTACCTACTCTCGAACAGCTTTCTTCGACTTAATAGGAAATGAATGAAAAGGCGTTCCACGGTGCGTTACAGGTGGCTCGTAACGTGTGTTGCAGCGTTATATGGTGAATAAAAGAAAAGTGGATCGTCGAAGACGAACTAAGCGTCTATATTCAAAGACGTTCTACCGTGAAGAAGAAATCATTGGAAAACTCCTACTTCCGACAGTTGGAATCGTTCGAACAACTTTCTTTCCGACGAATCCTGATGAAAGAAGGACGTAGCCCGTGGATATTGTGATTTGAAATTCATTTTAAGAATCTCCATATGGTGAACAGCAGTCGCTTCGTGAGTTTCCTTTCGACGACGCGATCTCGTGTTTGTGTTACTAGCGCGAGCAGTTTCTCTTTTTGCTGGTAATATTGACAAACTGCAAACCGAGGGGAAAGTGATGGTTGTGTAAAGGACATTAAGGATCGGTGAGGGGGCGAGATATAATAGAGTGAAGGAAGTATCGTGATTCTTGGAACGATGGGTAGCAGCAACAAGGCGAAGAGACACTACAAAAAAGATTCGCGATTCGTCGCGGATCTGTACACTTTTACCTATGATGACTTCGATCTCGTAAGATTAATCGTTGGACATCGAGCTGACGAATGGCGGTAGAGTATTTATTCGCAGGAAAAAATGAATATAAAATTTTCGATTTTTGACTTTAATTCTTCGACAATCAAACAACAATACATCACATCTGTATAATAATATTTGAATGTTTGACTGTTTCTATAAACAGTCTCTGTTCTAATTCTAAAAAGAAAATAAAAACTCCAGAATTTATTTTGATTTGAGCAATTAAATTGGTGGAAAATAATTAATCGTTTGTAAATATTGAGCTTCGTATTATCTTTGTTACGACTCAAAAACAGGTAGAATTACTTCAATAAATTTTATAATGCGAAAAAGATTGTGGTGGGAAAACTTTGTGGAACCAAAATAAATTGCAGTGAAAATTGGACTAAATCGAATGTCACTATTTCCTGTAATCAATGAAAGGGAACAACTACAACGTGTGTTAGATAAGGAAAAAGAAACTTGTTTCAGCGATAGATTATCTACAATGAAAGGTTTGTTTCGATGACCCTGTCCGACAAACGATTTCCTGCACTTGTCCCATGTAAGGTTAACGACCCCAACCATTCGATAGACAGAAGGGGGAAAGTAGGTCGTGGACTGTACAGGCACTAAAAAATTAATTTTGACATTCACACGCGAGTTAATGGCAACAAGGAATGGAAAGTTCCAATGGATTTGTGCGAGACTGAATTAACCATAGCCAAACATGACTCATTTACTTTACCGTGGAACTAACCTTATTCATAATACAAGGACTGAACTAGAAAGTATAAAGTTCATAAAAAATGGCACAAAAAGAAATGAAAATTTAAAGGGTTTACATAATCGTTAACAAAATATTTGCAATTTTTTATTGCTTTTATTACAATGTTCAGTTATTATTCAATTTATATATAAAATCAACTAAGTATCAATTTCAAAATCATTAAATTTATTTTCCTTTGAAAAATAAAGTAGCTTAATAACTGGAAATATTTATTCCTGTTAAATATTATAGAGTAAAATATCATGCAATTGAAATTATTTTCTAAATTAAATCCTGTTTCTCGATAGATACTCTAAATTTCGAACACTTTTACATGCTGAACTTAACCTTCGCGGTCCAATGAATCCTTTCCACTCGACTAACTTAGCCAATCTGAATTTATTGGGGAAAATACTGTAAACTGAATATACCATCTATTGAAATTCTCATAGGTCGAACTTCAGAAATACTTTGACAAAATTTATACGATATGAATTTTCCATTAAACTTCCATAAAAATAATATCTTTCATACAAATACAGAATTTATAAATAAAAAAGATATTAATCGTTACAGTCACAAAATATAATCCGATTCAATTAATTAAATATTTTATAAATTATATTAAAAATACTGAAATATTTATCAGAAACTTAAATGGAAAGTTTAGATATTAATTTTTATGATTATAATAATAAATACTCTACGACAATTTTAAAAGGAATTTTTACAAAAAAATTTATAATATCCATTCAAAGAGTAGTACTTGTAACCTCTTTTGATTTTAAATTTAGTCTCTTCAGACGACATTAAAATATATTTTATATAAATGAACATGCTCAACCGTAACAATAAAAATTACAAGTTTGAATTAAATTCTTTAGTTTAAAACTAATTTTTAAAAAAATAGTTTATTACATTTAACCAATCTGCTCTACAATGGGTTCTCGAAATGTTAAAGGCACGCGATTGAGAAGAAGTGTACAATCGATTATGTGGAGGACGACTTTACTGTTGCTCCCCTACTTCAAATAAATATCTCTATCGCCATTCGTACAGTCGAAAGTCGTGTTTTATCAATGTCCTGTGATCGACCGTATCGATTACCTGACTGGCTTTCATTTCTGGGGCATCAGGACGACGATAAAGAGCCGGCCAAGGAAGAGCCAAAGTCAGAAGAGACGACGATCGCGTCGTGCCAAAAATCCGTCGAAACGAAGGAACCTGAAAGGGAAGATCTTGTCACGCGATTCGATAGGGTCGTACGGGGAGATCCGGATGAAGCTTCTCAGGTGTGACTACCGGCAATCGTAAAGCGACTCTGAATATTTTCAGGAATATGAAACTCGGAAACTTAAACGAAAATATGATTGTATCACTTCTCTGACATTATTCGTGTGCATTTTTACAAGGAAAATATCATATTTATCGGTGCGTTTATCCTAGTTTCTTTACAGAAAAAATCCCAAATGTCACATTGACCACAGGCGTCCACAATATTAAAACCCCCTTCTTTTTACCAGAATAATCGCCTTTTTTTCGTAACCAAGAAGATAAGAGTAAAATGGTAGGAAAAAACTTTTCGTCCCCTTTGAATTGAAACAGAATCCATTCCCGACACCTACGGAATGGCTTGCAACCATATTGGGACGGTCCCGCCGGTGGAAAAACGTTGTCAATCTCATTAATGGTTTCGCTAGTACCGCAAGAATGCAATTCTGATACAATGAAATAGCGGACGCGGAACCCCCGATGGGGATCGGAGTACCCGCGGGGGTTTCCTCCCTTCGACGTGTAAACGGGTAATCACTCTTCAGATTCCACTGTCTGTTCACAGCGACGGAACGACCGTGAAGAGATCCGAAGGAGGCTGGCGATGGGTCCGGACGCCGAAGACTTGCGCGCTGAACGCGGAAGAAAGCCGAGCCTCCAGTCGCGGCTTCAAAGCGGTCGGTATCGCATGAACCCCTAACACCCAGGGGCTCCCTGAACAAAAATGTTTTCTTCCCGATTTCGAAAGTATCCTTCGATCGTGTCGCGAAAATGGTTAATCAACGATACAGTAAAAATTCTTGAGAGAACGATACACGTGTAATATTAAACGTGGAATTGTTAAACCCATGATCGTGACATAGTGTGAAACAACGGTTCGAGAAGAATTGGACGGACTTGCGACTAAACATGAGGAATGATTTTTAAGTTAGGGAATAGATTTGAATTTACCGTGATTTTTCGATGATTCGCGAATTATGGAAACAGAGTTACAAGTTTCGTTTTGGTTTAAATACTCGGTTTTTGGAAGTGATAATACGAATGTTGTGTATATTCTAGACTGTTTAAAATTGTTTCGTGGTATTTTGGTACTTGCTGTTGAAGGAATGTTTCGGTGAATTTTTTCTTAAAAGGTCATCATTGTTAAGACCCAGTCATATAAATGGAACGTTGTATGAAGAACGATTAATTAGTGTGTAATAAATGAGTTTAACGAGGAAACGTAGGACAAAAGATTGACTAATGAATCGAATACACATTAGGCGACGTCAGAGCCTTAATTAGAGTCCGGTGTATACAAAATACGCTTCTCGGGATGTAACAATCTTTTGTCGTGGATAATAATAAGACTGAGATACAGTATTATATTAAGACATAATAGTGCAACACTGTGACACACAGTATTATGATGGCAAATAATAGTATAGTATTATAATAGAATGTATAATAAATAATGATAATGGAATCGTGAAACATTACATAAAATAACAATTAATTATTGAGATGTAGATATTCGGATAATTATACGAATTCAAATTCTTCCAAATTAATTCACGAAAGTAACAATTATAGGACTACGTATTTGCTTTAATTCAAGGTCGAAAAGGAAAGAAAATTTTCATTAATCGTTACGTTAACACATTATGACCCGTGTCCATATATTTGTGTGCTTTGTTACAAATTATAATTAAAATAAAAAAATATTCTTTCGCTATAAATTATAGAGTCAAAAAGCATTTTAAATTCTTTCGGTCTTGATCTTATCTTCGTCAGAAGCTATAGCAGACCTTAACCTGTTAAATTTCCGTTTCATCATGTTCTATAAGTCGTTTGGGTTGAACAGAACGTTCCTACGCCTTTTTGCTGTTAAATACAACGGAGTATTTCAACATTATATGCTAAATACTTAAATTATCTTAATCTGTCGCCTGTGGTTGAACAAAACTGGAGTACCTCTATTGAAATTACCTGTTCAAAATCTCTGAAACCACAGTAGATACATTCGAACCTCACAAACATCTCCACACATTCCATAAATGTCTTTTATTCTTTATGTATCAACAGTGCCGATCAGTAAAAATTCCCGAATCTCATACACCAATGCGTAACACATATATTATTATCAGACGTTTTCGGATGATTTTCACAACAAGGAAAGAACCGGGAAGCTCAAACACGAGTATTCAGAGAGTACGTGATAGAATCGTAGATGATATGATGAAAAATAAAAGAATAACTACTAATAAATTACACTTTGACATCTACTAGAATACGTACAAAGTTTCCGTTCAACCCAATATACATATTTGCTATAAATTCATAAAATCCACCCTCTAAATGTACTTTCGTGATCCAACGGAACAAACAAAAAACAAACCAGCTCATTTAAACATTATTACATTGTGACAAAAAAAGAGAGATTACTTACAAGAGTCTCGAATTCTCTGCAGGAATGAATCTCCAAATCTGCTTCATGAACGAAACAGCCTCGGACACCGAGTCACCTTGCTCGGAGAACGACGCCTCGCCTGGATCCACGCCGGCGTCCCTGAACACGCCGAAGCAACAACAGAAACAACAGATGCCGGCCAGGCCCCAGGTGCTAAGTCTTCCGCCGTTGAGGCTCGACGTGGGCCCGAACTCGGCGCCCATCGACGAGGCGGACTTCTTCGCCCGGCAAGCAAGGTTACAGACCGAGGCGAGAATGGCCCTGGCCCAGGCCAAAGAAATGGCGCACATGCAGATGGAGGTGGAGAGACAAAGGCTGAAACAAAGTCCCATCACGGAGATGGTGCGATCCAGCCTCGAAAAAGTGAGTAATTGAGAAAGTTTATGCAAAATAAAATTTTATAAAGTACCTAATTCTTAAAGACAAGATCAAAAGTAGGAATTTCTATCTTCTCTTAAGTATGTTATTAAGTTAAGCGTAAAATAGAAAAGTCGTTGCATTAGATGAAAGTTTTGTCTTTGATTGTATTTTATAGAGCTATTTATACTCTATACATATATGTATGCATAAAATCAGTAGTCTACATAGTCATCAGTTTCGTTCTTAAATCTCCTTCTGCGGTGAAAAGATGGAGAAAAAACTGCACTTTCTGAATCGTTGTGTGTTACGTATAGACTGCGGATGTTTATGCAAAATCACAATTTTAGTTACTAATTTGTGAACATAAAAATAAGGTAGAAATTTATTTCCTGCACTAGATGTCTTATTGTAATAAGTGTGATGGTCTTATCTTAATATGGTGATGATAATATGTGAATATCATTAAGTTTTATTGCAGTCTTTATTTTACTACATTTTGTATATTAAAATTTTCTATAAATGTATAAATATCCGCAGCCTGGTTATGTATCTTCAGCAAAATTTAATCAGTCGTAACTTTATCAATTACTTAATCCTCGAACGATGGTGTCCAGGTTCATCTTGACCCAGGATTTTCGAAACTTTACGCATCGTTCCAGTTTAGAGAAACTAACTATAACGAATAGTTATTTAGTTTTAAAGAAATTCTTACCAAAGCACATCTAAATACAGATGATTAGGGATCTAGCTGGACCCAGGTACCGTCGTCTATTCGAACATCAAAAACGTTAGTCCTCAAAGGTTTAACCGCTTGACGGTTTAGTGTGAGTCTAAAGTAAAGCGTCGAGTGTATATGTACATACCGAAAGGTATACATATACATATGTATATATACACATATGTACCGAGAAACTCCGGCAAGATGACGCGCCAAAACTATTTAGTCTACCGTCGATATTGCTATAAGTCTCTTCGTGTCTGTCTCTGTTATAATCTCTCTGAAGTAAGAATGGCGTTGATTCCGAAACTTTCTACCACAGTTCGCAAATTGATTAATTTCAGAAGATGTATTACCTTCTTTATATAGAGTTCTATTTTACTGTTCCAAATGGATAGCAATCGGTCATCGATCATTAGTAAAAGTTCTAACCCTTTGCCCTCCAATACACTTTTATTGTAAATTGTTAGAAGCCTAAAGATATCTTTGTTCTGTCTGTTCTGAAACGTGTAAATGTTTCTTATCTAATAACGGTTTAATAGATTTACACAATTTAAATTTTATTTGTTAGGATTTAGTTTGCATTGTAATAAAGACAACTTGTATCTTGCGGTGGCGCAGCAACGGCGCCAGTGGAGTGCAAAGGGCTAACAGTGATACGAACAAATCTGCGAATAGTGAAATCTGCTGCATTTATTCAAAAATGCCGCGTGTCTTTTGATCGTTAATCTGGGCTGTCCTGTTGCACCCATCAAGGGAAAGAAACCAAAATAAATGTTAAAGATTTGATGAAACGATATCTTTTCCGTACACTGCTAACACTAGGGTGAATACACCACTAAATGAACACGTACCAGTAAATGAACATTACATATAAGAACAAGTAAATTAAGTTATTAAAATAAGCAAATGATTAGATATTGATTTTTTTCAATTCCTTGTTTCATATTCAAACAGTTTTCGCATCATTGGTTAGAAATGTTCATTCAGTAGTGAAATCAGTACTTTTTCTTTTTAAGTATTTTTTGAATTTTTCAAATTGAAATCTATAAGTTATAAGAAAGTATAAATGTTAAAAAATCTAATTTTCGTGTGTCAAATATTTATTAATATTATTATCATTTAAAATTCGACTCTAATAGCTACAAAATCCCTTAAGTGTTCATTCATTGGTGCGTTTATCTTACTACCGTCTACTTATATTTATGTGACAAAATATTTGAAGATTAGACATCGATTGACGAGCACACAGGGACTGCAATACATGATCCTCTAACTGTTTGGATCAGTGTATTAAACATTCGAAGCGCTTCGTGAACTGTGTGAAAAAAATGTTCCATTATTGTTCTTCAGGTTGGTGTTCAATTAGGCGAGGACAGGCGCAGATTGTCCCGGGTACTTTTAACAGAACTGAATGTCGCGCAGCTTCAAGTAGTGGCGAATGACTTGCACGCTAGAATCGCAGCTCTGAACGAGGCTCTTGTCGAGGGACTGTTAAGAAGAGACGACTTACACATGGAACAGGACTCGATGCTCGTGGACATCGAGGATCTCACCCGATATCTGTAAGTGTCCCGCATTCAGTCGATCTTGCGCTATTTTCCGCGCATTTTTGTGCACACTTCTTTTCTCGTTAGAACGAAGCAGTTCTTTCGACGCAATTAGGGATAGAAAAAAAAGAGAGAGAACTTTCGTGAAAAGATGCATGGTCCATTTTTCTGAATGGCGAAGTGGAACGAGGACTCTTAAGATAAAGTCGACGTTCCGCCGTACTTCTTAAACGGCCATATTGTTTTCGCTTGTTCAAGTATTAATGGTCGCAATCGGGTCTTATGCAAATTTGATAAATTCAGAGCGACCAGATGTTTAAACGTTGATTTTTATAATTCGATTTTGCATATTTCTAATAAATTAAATGGACAATCGATTTAAATGTTACGTGTGTTAAATCATCGAATGATAAATAAAGTAGCAATCATTTAAACTAAATTTTGATTACTACGAAAATCTTAATTCGTATTTTAATTTCGAAATTATTAATCAACTGTTCGTTGTTCACAAATAGCTCAAGGCTTTGAAAAATATAAGGATTTACTATTTTTATAGCACTACACTCTTGCAAGTGTATGTAGCTTGTGTAACTAACAACATACTTATATATTCAACACTATTACTACTACAGTGGGATCAAAATCAATTGTTCGGTCAAAACCATTGCAAACTAATCAAACGTACAAATATTTTCTATAATGTAATTAGTTCTCTTTTATACAGGGTGTTCAAGTACTGGTCTCAGAAAATTTAAAGGGTAATTCTATATGTCAAATTAAACAAAAATCATGAATATTGAAATCCAGCAGTATCCCACGAATAATTAGCTATTTTAATTGGATCGACTTTAACTTATGGAAAAACGTTCCACCGACAGTTATACTACATTGATACCAATTCATGGACATCAACTTTGACCGACGCTATGTGTTTCCTGACATTCAAATACAGATTGGTGAATCAATATCAATGTAATAACTAGACTGCGGATGTTTATGCATTTGTAGTCAATTTTAATGTACAAAATGCAGTAAAATACAACCTTTCATAGAACTTAATGATATTTATATATTATTGTTAACATAATAAATTTTCATCTCATTCTCATGTTCATAAATTAATGTCTAAAATTGTGAATCTGCATAAACATCCGTAGTCTGGTAATAACTATTGGTGAAACGTTTCTCGATAAGCTAAAGCGAATCCATTGTAGCAACCGCAATGCTGTGTCTGGATCTATATGGATCCAACTTTTTAAAAGCTCCATCTATCTTATCAACCTAAGAATCGAATTTACGCTAGAAATTGTTCATATTTTGTGATATAAAAAAGCAGGACATCTTGAATGATTACATTCGAAAATAATCTTTAGAAAATAGGAAATATCAAAGGTCCAAACAGAGCCAAGCATCGCTGCAGCACAAACATTAAAAACGTCCGCCTTTCGACGGTCAATTCATAGCCAGAGTCTTTTGGAACAAACCGCGTGTCACCCATGATCACGCATAACGCTGCAGTCATCGCAACAAAATTCACGATCAAAAAATTAATTCGATCGGTTGAGCAACTTTGATCCCACTGTAGCATTGAACTCTATACCTGGAACGATAACTGTGAGATAACACTGTAAACGACGTATCCCTATTTCACTCTTACAGATATCTTTTCTGGGCGTACACTGAGGAGCAAAGTCAGCTTCTTCTAGGGGAAAAAGCAATGTAGGGTAAGGGCTTCCTACCGCTCGATAAATTTATTTCAAATACTGAAATAAATGTAAAACCGAATGTTAGTTTGCCATAAATTTCAGTAACTCCAACACCAAAGAGTAGGAGGTCTTTTCCTTACATCACTCTTTCCCCTAGCGGAAGCAGAGTTTGCTCATGAGGGTACAGTTGTATCTATGTATATCTGCCTGTACCCTTTTTCAACAGCTGTGAGATACACCTTCGAAACACCTATCTCCCTCGGCCCCGGCTCATCCAAGGTTTTCCGTACTCTGTTATCGTCCCAGGTATATAGAGTCCAATGCACTGTAATCATCGAAAAGATCGTAGCAACTCGTAGTTGTTTCGTAGCTGTTTCCCACCTTTAACAAGACTAACAGCCTCCGAGCAAACTATGACGAACATTATATTTTCCGGGTTGTCGCGTTAATAAAACAGCTTCTGCTGCGTTCGAATGCACAGAGGTACCAAGCAGGAGGCGCTGAAGAAGAAGCAAAACGCGAGGGAGCAACAGACCTCGGGCAGGAATCACCAGCAAACGGCGTCGCCAGCACAGAGCAAGACACTGATGAAGCCAAAGCTGACGCACCGCGGTCTAGTCTCCCTGGTGAGGAAATAATGCCTGGCCACGAGACTCCGTGGTCTCGTCGGAATCTAAGCGAGCGGGAAGGAAGCACAGGCACCAAAAAGACGCGATAACGTTAGAGTAGATCAGCCTCCGGAGGTGAGGTCGAGGACCGGTGGATTCAGAAAACTGAAAAATCCCCAGACTCGACGGGGACTGCGTACAGCGCCGCCACGCGGACATTCTCCGAAGAAAAACAAAACAGAGAGACGCGTTCAACGAATTTCATTTCCGAGTGTAGGGAACGCAAACTTTTCAGAAGGAAACAGTTAAACTCTCTTTTTTTTTCGCACGTGGAGCGAACGGAATTGTTTCTGTTCGCATCCACTTGCCGAGAGCTTTGGCATAAAAAAAAATACGTAAAATGGACACGCGAAGCCCTCTTTCCTCCTCCAGCCCTGATAGAGGTTCGGGAGGGAAAACGGCTGAATTTCCAAAGTTTTTACAGCTTCGTCGTTATCAAGTGAAAGTAGGAATATACATACGTGCATATATACGTAGTCGAGCAAGTAGCAACGAGCAAGCCCCATTACCCCTAATGTCCTATCCTGAATACTTGGTCGATCGTTTCTAACATTCTAGTAATCGTACTAATAAGAACGTGTTGCCGAAAGTAACGGTTCTCGAATGTTTCGGTTCTAAATATCATTTAAGCGATAATTGTGTGTTGTTTTTATTTCTGGATTAGAGACTATGGTCGTTGGAGACCACTTGAACTTCCTTCCCTGTATACAATTGAGAACATTGTTCCGAAATGATGGAACTAAACCTGGTTTTTCGTGTTAATTAAAGATTGCTGAACACGATGATGATTTTACTGTTTCCTAGGCACGTCACAAAGTCTAGATTTTTAGATATAAAGTTATGGCTGTGCAGATTGATTTATTTCTGGAATTATTCACCGAATACAATTTTTCTGACTTTATTTCTATCGTATTCAAAAAATAAAAATAATAATGAATTTAAGTAAAATATAAATGTAGGATGTACATAATTTCATAAATATTTTGATTAGTTACGTAATCTACAGAGTGTTATATAACTGGTGGTGCAACCGAGTAGGAGGTGATTCTACGTAAAAAAATAAGTCGAAAATGTAGAATACATTTTTTTCATTCGAGACTTCGTTTTCGAAATAATTGAATTTGAAAAGCTGCTGTATTCGCGCGCAATTAAATAGAACTTGGCTACCGCGTCTGTTCATTGCATTCCGTTTCTACTTATTACCATGAATACAATTCACACGTTTCGGATTAATTTTCAATGTCGACTTTCTCGAGAACGAAGTCTCAAATGAACAAATTTTACTGTATATTTTCGACTTATTTTTTCACGTAGAATTACCCTGTACCCTGCTGCACCACTCGTTACATGACACCCTATGTACGATATTTATAATTAAATTTAAATAAATCCTTACGTATAGAGTCAAAAGGGAGATTACTATTGTATTCAGCAATTAAAAATCAAGGAAATAAAACCAGTTCCACTCATTCAAAATTTTCTCGAACACTGAAATTAATTCAACGGAAGCTATTTATCGATTCATCCTGATTGGATGGTTTAGTCATCGGTACGTTTAGTAGAGAATACATGCTGTTTTTTGCCCAAGCATTTTAAGAACATTCTATATGCCCGATCTCCCTCCGCTCTGGTTATATCTTGCGGCCATGCATGCATGTGTTTCCCGAATGTATCGCCTTTATAATGATAGCGTTAAACGGTAGGCAAAGCTCTTCTCTATGTTGTAAATAAACGAACGCCGTGGTCCGGTCCAGTGAGAATCCGCTACTCACCCGAGATGTCTACCCGTCGTCAACGAAACGGGTTCCTTGTTCTCCCCCTTCGAGACGTTTCTCTTTCGACGTCTTCCAGATCCGAGACAGGATAGACCCTCTCGGGTTATCGAGTGATTCACCCCTGTCTTGTATTTTACGGACGAGGATCGCGATGGAACGACGTCGATGCTGGACGTCACACGATCCGTGGATCTTTGAGAAGGAAAGATCGTTGTGACGACGATTGAAACACGATAGACGAACTTTCATCAGATTCTTTGAGATTCTGAAACTCTTTAATTAATCAATCCTGTCCACAACCATTGATACAGTTACAATGGTACACTGAAATCAGAATAAAAGATAAAATATAATGAAACGATCGGATGCTGTTCACTTCAGTTTCAAAATACAGTAGACTTGTGTTAAAGTAGCGGTGGGAACGCCCCAGCTCACACGCATTACTCACACACGTGCGTGCACCCCACTATCAATCACCACCTGTAACCAAAGTTCTGATCCAATTGGTGGATCAACCGAAATCCAACGAGATCCTGCGTACCCATTGACTCACGTTGAAGTAAGGTTTCCAGGAGAAACCCGCCTCGAGAGTACAGTGGATTCTGGTTATTTGGGACATATCTGGACTAGGCGTCCGATTAAACAGCTGTCCCAATTATGCGAAGTATCATATAGGTAAATACTAAATACAGAACATCCGATTAGGTTTTGTTTTCTGAGTTTCACCAAATGAATGGCTATCTCCATTAACCGGTGGCCTGAGTAAACAGAATCCCCTCTAATAACACTGTCCTACACGATTTTTAATCTGCAATATTCATTGGGAGATCCTTATAGAGTTCCTCGTCCAGATTACGAATCCGGAAGCAAAATTTCTCAATCTCGCTCAGTTTTTGAAAAACATGAGCTTTTGTAAAAACACCCGATTTTAGTCAAAATTGAGGTATTACGTGAAAACTAAAATCGTTAGAAAGTTCAATTTAATCTTAAAAAATAGAGGAGATTAAGAAATTCTGCTTCCGGATTTGTGAACTGGACGAGGAACTCTATAAGGATCACCCAATGGATATTGCAGATCAGAAAATAAGTTGAAATTTGTTGAACAGTGTAATTTGATCGTCGAAAGTATAATGTTTTCTATAACTGTTTCAATCCTACGATTCCGGTTCGTGACTACGATCGTTGCTCTTCAAACGATATATACTACACTGGCATACTTCGTTCGCGGGAAAATGGTTAGAATAAGTAGCCCAGGTGTCTACAATTCGTGACTGCGTAGGAGGGAAAACGAACAAACGAAACATGGCAGCAACAGCCCAGTAACTTTCTCACAAATGGATTGATTTATCATGGTTCAATTAAACGGACGATCCGTTGATTACGCGTGCATCATTTCATAAGCAAAGGCCACTGCGGGCGATGTTCATCGAGCGATATTCATTGCCACAGGCACAACGGAGTCGAGGGATTTTAAGGTCAACGGAGCGATGCGCGCGCGAGAAAGCGAAAGGTAGACACACAGTACATCATTACGAAACGATTGTAACGTTCCGTATTCAGAGTTGAATTTTTCCAATTAATCGACCATGAAACATTTACTGTTATCTCGCGTTTCCGTTCGAAACATAAAACTTTGTTACATCGATCGAGAGAATACCCGAATTACGTTGCTACACACCGACTATCTTGCGCGAAAGAAACGATATTGATCGTTTGTACATACACACACACACGCATAAATTAAATTGTACGTAATGTTTTTTATAAAACTCATCACACACACAGGAGCGAATAATATACGTTGAACGATCATTTTTAATGTGAATTCAAACAAGAATTAGTAATTCCTTTGAATATTGCGTACAAAGCCAATAGTGTGTGACTCTGGAAAACCACGACTTACGATTCCATTTTGTACAAAAACTAGAGACCCATGAATCATCACTGGTACAATAAACGAAAATGTATTTGAAACGAAATCGAACATTTTAAGCGAATGTAAGTAGTCTGCTTAATCTGAAATCGTTATTGTTCCACGCGCATATACCTTTATTAATTACTTGTTCGTAACGATTCCTACTCACGATATCACCAAAGAAACGAGTACCATTCCTTTTTATAATGTCGCAATGCAATCCGACACCTATCAAGTGTCTTATTTAAATACTCTCTATTTATACTTTAGTATTAATTATTCAGCTTCACGCGTGTACTTATTTAAGAACCGATTCATTACTAACCGTTTTGTAACACTAGAACTACCGACGATAAACGTATCGAATAAACATGATAAACTTTTGAAAATATACAGATTCTTAAATTAACCAATTTTCTCGTCTTCATATTGCAATAAAACTTGTAGAAGACCTGAAGAAATGGCGTCTTGCAAAATTTTAATCATTGTTACAAAAGTGTACTAATCAATCATTTTGACTATTTTGGTAGTTCTAGTGTTAAGGTCATCGATCCATTTTTTAATTGCTTTAGCACCGGGGTAGAGATAAATCTCGAGCATGGCGTGGTTCTTGCTCGATCATCTGTAAAACCTTTTAAATGTGAATCGTAACACGGAAGGGAACGAAGAACACAATTACATATCCAGATGTATCAGAACACAGAAGCGATCGAATAAGCGAAGGAAAATTCAGACGATTCTCAGTCCATGAACTAGCCATTAAAAAGGAAATGTACATTCGAATAGTAAGAGAGAACGAGAAGAAACGGACTGATTGTACGATTCGAAGTGGAATTCCTTTATCAACCGCCCGTTAAAAAAAAAAGTATAGACTTAGCGAACGTAATCAAAAGTATATATATATTATATATATGCATATATTCGTGTACTTGAAAAATGGATTACTCGAGTTTTACATAAAAAGTATTCAGGTACTGATTTTCATGTATTCATACTTAAGGGTCTGCCAAGTACAGCGAGTTTATTAATGATGATGCAGGATATATTAGGTGTACCAATAAGTGATCCTCTGTATTTTGTCAAATGTTTATTTTCGAGGAAATCAGAACAGCCTATGGGTGTTTCAGCGATACATTTGTCCTCATTCTTGAATGTTCGCCGTTTTCAAAGAAGAAAAGGATAGAAAGATTTTCCAAATTTAAACCGTTGTTACCAGTTTATTACAACGAAATAGTGGATCATTTACTGGTAGACCTTAAGCGTAACGAGTTCCAAAGTCCCTGAATTTCATGTTTGCGCTGCATTTCGCGTGAATCTCTTAACGTAGATCACAACGTTATAAAGCGAAG